GAATTATAAAATTGTGCTCCATACTATATATTTACAAGAAACTATATATCAATTTGTCAGTACATATAATACCACCATCTTTTAGCTTATATAAATAGTAAACTAAAAATATATATTCGAATAAATTTCATTAATTTATAAAAATTATAACATTTAACATATATTGCTTCAATTTTAGTTATTATGTTGTCTTTAATATATATAAAATGATTATGAAAAAAAAAAAATAATATCTATTTTTTTTTCATTAACATATAAATCAATATGACTAATGAAATAAGTGATAAAAATAAGGTATATTTAATATTGCTAGAATTGAGTTTCATTTTATATAATTCAAATATATATATATATATCATTAAAATGCAACCAAGTTAATGTATCCTAAAAATTTAATTTATATATATATATTTTTTTTTAAATTAATTTTTAGTTCGAATTTACTTCTATATTTCCGAATTTTAGAAATGCATTTAATTCTTATATATGAAATTCACACACTTGATATTTATATAATGAATAGTCTAAAGTATGCAATGATTTTTTTGTCAAGATTATGGCTAACAGGCGAAATAGCTATTGGTTTCATACAAATTTTTGTATTCAACTTGGTTTTTATTTAAATTACATAAATAATGAAATAAACAAAACACATTCAAGCATTCATATCGAAAGAAGCGGTAAATATTTATATTACAAACTAAAAGATTTAGTTAAAAGATACAAAGGCAATTGTAATAGAAAAGCAAATTGATACGATCTTTTGAGGACAGGGAGGCCACGGGTAGCTTTAATGAATGTTCCGAACATATGTGACGGTGCTGTTCAAAAGATAAACATTATTAAAGAATATTTATATGATATATTTTATTATTTGGATGAACTATATGGTACTATTAATATATTAAAGGAGAATAATTCTTCATGTAAAAGGAATTGTCAAAAACACGATGAATATATAAAAATATTAAAATCATGTGATTTTAGCTATAACTCAAGTTTTAAAAAAGTAATTGAAAATGCTGAATGTGAATACAATATATTATATTCTAATGCAGTAGAAAAAACTCTAATCGAAATGCATACACATTTAGAAGTATTAAATTCGGACACAGGCTATGTGACAATACCAAGTTCAAAGACCGAATTGTTGACAGGGACCATCATAAGGACAAACTCAACGACAAAGACATTGATAGACCCATGGACAGATATTAAAATAAGTGCAATGGCTGACATAATGTCGAACACAGAGACAGGAGTGTTTATTTTTTTAGCTAAAATAAAATAACAAAAGAAATAAAATATTAATAAGTCATATTAAAAGATTGTAAATATACTTATAAAAAATATATTAAAAGCGCAAACAAAAAAAAATATGGAGTTGAATTATTTATCAATATAAGTATTCTATTCATAACTTTTACTAAGATTTCATACATTTCTAAATTTTATAATAAAATCATATATAATGAATTATATTACAAGAATATTAAATATTACTAGTTCAATCAAAATAATGTAATCATTAATATATATATATACATAACATAATTTTATAATATAGTCAACTAGAAATATAACATTACATAAGTGGACAAAATTTCAATTGTTAAACCGCTGTTCATACATATATGCTTTATATTAATAGAAATTAAAATATTGTATATACAAAAAAGGAAAATAAAATAATTTTTTAAACAACAAAATTATATTTTATTATATATAGCTAACACTAATTGTTGTCTCCATATATTATATATATATAAAATAATTAAATGTGTTTTTATTTTCATTTTAATAACAAATAGAACTATGATTAGCTTATATATTAATGGCACGAGGTGTGCAAAAAATTTCTTCCCATATAAAAACATTATGACGAAATATATAAAACAAAAGCAAAAATTTCTTTAAGCAAAATGCTTGAACCATAACTTTAGGTAAAAAATATAAAGATAAACACTAAATTTTCAACTAATATATTTTATAAGGAAAAATCTAATATATTATTTTTACTTTTTCGTGTTACTATTCTTAAATTATGATTAAAACTTCAAATAAATGGTTTCCTTTTATTTTCTAAGTATAATATATATATCAAAGTTTGTTAAAATATGTTTATTTCTTTTTACTTGCGTAACTCATAATTAATTAAATGTATATATTCTTACATTTTGTTTTCAGACAATTGTACTAAATATGTAGTTAAGATTTCTTCAGAGAAACATGGTAATAACGCAATAAAAATGATTCATTTTGAAATAATTTTATGTTTTTATAAAAAATACAAATTTACGCAAAATTAACAGTTTGGTGCAAAATTATAAAAGTATATTGGATTTACTCATAGATTATAATTCAAATTACATAGGTATTAATAAACATATACATTTTCAGGATTTAAATTACATGTTATATACTATTACACAAGGAATTTTTTAATTAGGACTAATTAATTCTGAAATTGATAAGGAACAGTTGTAGAATATAATATTATACAAAATTATACCTATTTTAAATGTTCATGTATTTTTATGAGAACCAAAATAAGTATGTTCATATATAAATGTAAATGTATGGATTGTATAAAAATTTCTATAGTATTATTAATTACAAGAGTGTCAATAAAAGAAAAGTAAATATCCTGATCATGGTTCTCCTGTAGTGTATAGGAGATAGTTACATATCAACACATAGCTTAGTGCAGAAAAACATAAATGTTATAGATTTAATAATACCCGTCATATTGATTATATAATAAAATGCATATTTTTAGTATAACATATACTTCAAATATGATTAACAAAAATTCTCTTATCAAAACATACTGTGTCAAGTAAAATATATGTACAAAATGTATGTCTTATTGGATATTATATAATTTATGTTACTGAAAATATAATAAAAATATATTTTTATTATATACGTAACTTATAACGTACAGTATATAAGTACATTTGTCACATTTATGTGTCATTGATAAATAAACAAAAAGGAAAAAGTGTAAAAAACAAATATTCCTATATAATAATTTAACTGATATTTATTAATATACAGCTATAAATGTATACAAGCAAACATTCCAACACATAAATGCAATATAAATCAAAAATAAATAAGGTTCTGCTAATTAAATATAGTATAGGGTTATGTACTCATGAACACAAATGGTATATATAAGTAAAAGGAGTTATTTAAAGAACATATTATTGGAAATTTTAAAAAGTTAATATAGCTCCGCTGTGTGGGAAGTGTATATGCAAAAATTTAGTATATTCGAAAATTAATAAAAGTTAAAAATAATAAAATTATCTTAAACAAATATGAAATTATAATTTATCAAATCAGGCTAGCACAATAAATGACATATATATTTTACATTAATATATATGATGTGAATTAAAAAACACAAAAATAGCTATCAAAAATAGTACGAAATTTTTCTTTGTTATACCTTGTTAAATGCTTATATTAGACATATAGGACACATTTCATTATTTCATATATTAGTAACAAAACATCTGTTACATTTATATAATATCAATACTTTTTATTACTGTATAAATTTTTTATGCTACAATTTATTTTGATATAATAAAATCAATTCCTTTCATAACTATAATAGGCTTATTATTTTACTTTATTGATACCTTTACAATTTATGAGCCCAAAAGAAATTAACAATTATTATATACTAATGGATTCTATTACATTATTCCTAATGTCTAGAAGAATATCTCTAAATAAGGATTCAAAAGAATGAATTTATTCTTAACTTTTATACCTATGTGAAAGTGCATCACGTATGGAAATGTATTAATGAAAATGAACTATCAGGGAAAAATTTAAAACTGTATAAAACAAAAATAAATGTAATATTATCTAGCATGGAAAATTAAAACTAAATTTCTCTTCCTTTCTATGAAACATTTATTAGCGCTTTTTTATATATAATTTTTTCTTCATTCTAGTATTATTGTGAATATATGCGTACCTTTATTTATTTTTTCGGTATTTTTTTAGCGTAATTTATTTAGTACAAATATTAGACTATATTTTTTTTATATATGTTTTGTGTAAATCTGTTGTATTTTGTAGTCTAAAATTATATATAATGAGTGATAATAATATATACTTATATATTATACACATCCACTTATTATTCACAATTTATTCTTTGCTAAGTATATTAATTTAATATTTTGAAATTATTGTAATTTTAACAAATTCACAATAGAATGCGATATTTATAGAAAAAATAATATCGTTTCCTAATAAGTTATAATTATGTTTGAAGGCTATATTTTGTAAATAATCTATGAATCCATTATACAACTATAAACCTATTAGAAAACAAAATAATAACACATCTTCTTAAAATATTTAATTTTATAAATAATTTGCAATTTTTTACTAATAAAAATTTACATAAACATAAAAAAAAAATTTTATGATTTTGATTAAACTCTTTAAAAATTATTTTAAAAATAAAAAATAAATGATAATTTATTTCAAAAATATTGTCTTCAAAATAATTAAATGTGTTTCATGTAAATTATTACGATTTATATTGTAATATTTTTTTTTTGTGATATAAATTTATAACGTACTTTATTTTAAATTCTAACTTTAATTAATGCGTTAAATGAATTTTAAAGTATAATATATGTTAAGACACATATGTTAATAGCAATAACACTAATCAAATGATTATACAATTTTTTATAAATCCAATGTAATATATATATTATTTTTTTTTATTACATATTATAGCCAATAATTTCAAATACTGAGTGTATGTAATTTTAATTGATTTAACATTTAAAAATAGAGTAAATATATATATATAATAAATCATAAAATCTAGTTTATTATAGAATATACATAAATTAAAATTGACTTATAAATCATATAATATATTTTGTAGCTTAAGTACTATATTGATACTACTATATTAAATTGTTATATTATGGGGGAAAATAAATAATGAAGCATTAGAAATACAAAAATTGCATACACATTGTATATAATCCAAATATTAATATTTACACAAGTTTCGCTGAGAAAATATATCATTATGTAAAAAAATTAATCAAAATTTTTATATAAGTCAAACATAATAATATATATGCTGTATAAAATAATATTTTATCACTGGAATATATAAATTGATTAAGTAACAAGCAGCGTTAATAAATATTATCTGTCCAGCATAAATAATTTTTTCATAAAATTTAAAAATACATTTTAACGAATATGAATGATTTTTTATGTAATAAATTTAAATATACTACAACAAGAATCTAGTTATAGTCAAATATTACTTTAATCTTTTTTTGTTCTTCCTATGTTGTACCTAATGTTTAAGAATACGATGAAACAATCGTTTTTAATAAAATATATGTTATTTTATTTGATGTATTATTTTGAACAATACAAATATATGCAAAATCATAACATGTATAATAACAGATTTCTTTTCTTTATTTTTTAGACAAAAAATTACTGAAAAAAGAGAAAAACAGGTAATTTATTGTTCCACATCTTACCATTAACTTACTTTAACATGTAAAGAAAACAAAAAATATCTAATGTTTATTATTGTAAGTCAAAAAATATATTCTGCTGTATATATAAAATAAGTACACAAGAGTTACTTCATTATATAAATTTCCATGTTTTATTTATATTTTACTTTTTGTATCACTATGAAAATTAATACTGTATCCATGTAAATTATGATGTATTAAAAATATTCTATTATACACATAATTTTTATTTTGTGAGTAGAATAATAATTAAAATGACATTTAGATCAATATTCTACATTAATTCTATTTTATATATTAGAAGATATATGAGAGTTTGTGTAGAAAAAAGAGGAAAAATATATTACTTTTTATTAACAATGTGAAATATAAGAACTGTGTATTAATACATTTATTACCATAAACTACAAAGACAATAAGCATTATTAATATAATGTAAAACATATATTTTTGTTAAAGAATCTAATATATATTATTAAGATTGCGTTATTGAGCTGTAATAGTCATTAATTTGATACCTACAAAAATTATACGTATTAAAAAACAATAGCTAATATTTACTAGATAAGGAAGTATTATTGATAAAAAGTTATTCTTGAAAGAAAATGAGTCATATACATAAAACTCTTCATAATTATACGTACAAACACAAGTATCTATGAAAAACATACTCAAATATTATATATTTCATTTAAAATATAATTTATTAATAAATTATATTCATTATTATGCACAAATAAATAATTTTTTTCTAACATTATACAGTGTTTATATAGATATTATATAGGTTTATAAAAATATATTTATTCAATTATTCATTATAATGAATTGTTACAACATATTATTTGAACTATTATGTCTATTTTACATATTTTTGTTTCTACCCTATCATATAACTAAATTAACGATTACTTTATTATATAGTATATGAATGATTATGTTTTAATTATAATAATAAATAATATATACACCCCTCCTTGTATCCTATACGATAATTTAGTTATAAATATATATAGAACACATCCACTCTTAATTAAATAAATATGTACGACGATATAACGAATATAAATAAACTCCGGAATACTGTACGTTTTTTAATGTTCCTTATTTTTTATAAAAATTTATTATAATTAATAAAATATATTATATTTTATATAAGAAATTAAAATATTGGTTTATTAATATAATAATTTTACATTCTTTCTTAATTTTCAGCATCCCTTTTTGCATAAAACATTTGATTTATTTTCAAAATTTGATGAACAGGTGGAAACGAAACGTTACAACCAATATTATGAGAAATTGTGCAAAACAATTACAACTGTATTACATAAGCATGATGAAAAATATATTGAGTTTTGTAAAAAACTTGTAAAAAATTATAAAATATTTTGCAACACATCATATAAATGCAAAAATATATCTGATTATTGTCACGATGTAAACAACTGGATATATATTACCATGAAAAAAGAAAAATTTGAAAATTGGCTTGTCCAAAAAATATACGAAGGTATTGAATCGTTTGCGAAAAGACAACTAAATAAAACTATATGTCCATATTATTCATATGACACAGATTATAGAGAACCGAATAAAATGATATTTTTATATATGTTTGAATCTAATATAAATAAAATGAAGGAAATATTAGAATCTACTGATAATACATTAAATTGCTACTGCAAAGAATTTGTTAAGAACATGGTAAAAATATATAAAAGAATGAATAAAGACTATTGCATTAACGGAAAGGATGCAATGAAAGAAAATAAAAAAACTTGTTCTATACTAAATACTTTTAGGACATTGTACACAATGTACCTGTGTAAGGAGGATCCTATTAAAAGTATATTACCATTATTAACATCTGACGCAGATATAGAATTCGTCAAATGTGAAACAAATGGAAGCATTATGCCCTCACAAATAACTAGTGAATCATCACACTTAGGATCAGATGACCAAAGTGAACCATTCCAAGATTTATCCGATGAAGAAATACAAGCAATAGAAAATTTTGATCCTTTTACTTTAAAAGTATCCATAAAAAAAATTTTACCCACATTTCTTGCAACCGTTGCTGGAATATCTTCCCTTTTTTTCTTATTTTACAAGGTTAAAATAACACAGTTTGTAAATTCTGTAAATTGTTCGGGAAATATTGTGTTATGTATTTTTAATAAATAAAAATACATATATATAATTGTTACTATCTTTTTTTGTCAGTTCACTCCAATTCGTCACTTACTTCGTTCAAAAAAAAAAGTAGAAAGCATAAAAAATATGCATGATAGAGATAACTATAAAGAATTATTATATAACACGGTTGGTAACGATAATATGTATTTATATAATATGAGATATGACATAGCATATGGAAATATATAGCCAAATAATACTAGCATAATTTTCAAAGAAAATTTTAATAATTAAAAAACATTTGAAACATGAAATAAGATGTAATATAGATAAGAATATAGAAATAGAAAGAAAGTTATGGCATATAAAATGTAAAATAACGAGATTATTAGAATCAGACGCAACCAATGATCATATATAAAAGGTTCAAAATAAAATAATGTTTTTATAGTGAAGAAATTAAAGCACATTATCAAAAGTAAAATTTCTAAAAAAATAAAATAATAAAAAAAATATTAAGCCCAGTGATAAAACCATGATGCATGTACATCCATATATGGTTTAAATATTCAAATATGTTTATTGTTACATAGAACTAATGTAATATATATTAATTATACTATGGAAAAGATGGAATATGTTTTAGAATAATTAACGTATATTTTAAATATAAACATATCGTTATTATGCTTCCCGCACTAAATGATTAACTCTAAGCAATTATCTCCAGAATACTTAATAAAGATATGAATATTCATATATCAAATATAAGAATATATATGAATTTTTCTGTAGTTTCTAATTTGCATAAGAACGAATTAATTAAAAGATGTTAATAGATATTATTGATTGTTAAATATAGCTGTGTTAAGGCGTGTATAATATTTTCATTATATTATTCATATATTATAATTTATTTCTGATTTTCATAAAACTATATTCTTATATGAACACTATGTAACAATGAAATCAGCTGATGTAGATAATTATTGTGATGTGTTATTTTATTTTTTTTTTTTCTGCAGTGCCATTTTAAATGCATGTTGTACGGTGTGTCAACATGTCAATGACATTATTATAAAATATGCAAAAATAAATTGCAAATAATACATATTTCATAAAAAAAAAAAATAAAATAATAATATTATATGTAATTGTTTATGTCAAAAAAAATTGTATGATAATTATAATATTATATATTATTACATAATTAATAATATTGCATATTTTTTTTTTCATTTTGTATTTTTTTCATCTATTCAATAATAATATTTACAAAAATTCAATGTAAAGGGGAAAAATATATAATTATAAAATAAAAAGAAGTATCTTATTATATTAACACCTTATTTTTGTCAAATATAAAATTGAAAAGAAAAAATTTATAAACAATGCTTGATACCATAAAATTATTAATGAGAAGCTATTCTCATGTTTTTTCTAAGGTAAAGTAAATCTCTAATGGTGTTAAATGTAAAAAATATCATCTGAATCTAGCATTCATCCATGAAATGGAATAAATATAGAATTTTACATTATCGTAACACAGTATATATAATTTCCTTTTTCCTTTCAGTACATTTATCTCTATTTATATATGTTACCATAAAAACTGAAATCAATTAATAATATAAAGAAAAATAAATTAAAAAAATATATTAATTTCATAAAAACAAATAACTTAATTATATTAAAACATTCATCATTTATATCATGTGCTGAATTACTATAACTATGGGTTAATATAGTTCAATAAATAATTTGCAAGAAATGAATGACGTAAATGTAGCAAAATCATAACATATAATGGAATGAAAAAGCTATTATTTTACAAATATGAACTTTTGAAAAAAAAAAAAATAATATTATGATTCATATATAGGTAATTCATATATATTATGCTTATTATTTATATGAAAATATGTCTACAAAAAAAAGGCTTATATACAAATTAAAATATTAATAATACATTATAAATTATATGATTAAATATTTAAAGGGTATTATGATAACAATAATGCAAGCTATCCATAATCCCCCAAAGGAAACATATTTATATTAATTTAAAGTATAATATGAATTATAAGTTTGTCCATAAGGATTACTTATATTTTCTAATAACGTTGGAAAATTATTCGATAAATAATAGTTATTTAATTTCTTATTTTATAATAAATTCTTCTGTAAAGCAAAAATAATTAGTTATTATGTACACTAAAGTGTTCCGTATGTATAAAAATTTATATTATAACTATGAATAATAATAATAAAAAGAGTAAATATATTTTCATTCAAAATTACATTTGAATTATATAAATATGAAAAAACAAAATGAATAAATATATAAATATACAGTTGCAAACCATTATAAATATATATATAAATGCTTTTTTTTATATAAATAATCTTTTCAAAAATGCATATACACATATAGTGATGTGTCTTTAATTTTATGTATATTTTTTTTTTTATATATTATCATATATTTAATATAGAACATTAATGTGTTAACAAATATTGGGGAATAACCTTTATATATTTTTATCAATTTCACAGGAATAGCGAAATATATCTTCTTTCAAAAATAATTAGCATTTTTCTAAATAATTAATTATAAGTAAAAAAATAACAAATGCATTTTAACACTATTTTGATGTTAGCACTAATAATTTATTTTAATGTGTTTAAAAAGCGTTAGAAAAATGTGTTTAAATAAAATATTCATTTTTAAGGGGAATATCAACAAAAGATATAACTAATTATAATAGGAATTTATATTAATTCTGGTTTCATTCATTTATAACTTATTATATTATATTAATATCATAGTTATTCTAAAATTTTTCTTGTAAAATAAATATCCATGTATTTAATACTAACATAGAAAAAATAAATAAAGTGATTTTTAATGGTAATATAATATTAAAAGATAAAAATAATATACATCAATATAATATTATTAATATTTATTACTATTTAACGCCATGTTATTCTTTTTCTTATCATAAATATGTATTGTTATGATTATTCAATATTTCTGTTTTCTTGTATAAGAATTATATTAATATATATTTAATACACTCATATATATTTTTAATGTATTCGTAATGTTTTTATGCGAGTTAATATTTTTCATCATATAAAAATTTGGATTATTATTATCAATCAATTGGGGTTATTCAATTGTCGTTTTTTACCTTCTACATGCAAATGCTTCCTTTTACAGATTAATTTTATAAAATATATTTTATCCTTGGTGATGCTTGTGTAACTGAATATTATAATACATTATTATATTTATTTGCGACCCTGAATACGCAGTTTTCCTTAGCACAAAATATATATATATATATATATATATATATATATATATATATATAATATTTTTTAAAGAGCAAATATTTATGGTCTTAATATAAAGATCATATTAAAGAAAACACATTGTCCCTAAAAAAATTTATTCCAACCGTTAAAGAGAAAATATATATAACAAATAAAAATAATATTGAGTATTGTAATAGTAGCTAATTTTAACTCATACATAAAGATACCTATATAAATAAAGTAAAATATTGCTTGTTCTATATTTAATATAAAATTCATCAAATATATACATATAACAAAAAAATATTCTTTTTGCTTTTTAATATAACTCTCTATATTTTTAGTAAATTATGTAATATAACAGAATAAAAATATATTAATGAAAAAATTTATTAGATATCAACATTTAGGAGTGTATTAATTATTTTACATTGTCTTCTATTATTATTTTTACAAAATTTTTTTAATTTATAAATTTTTATACAGTGAATACAAGTGTACATTATCCTCCATAATTCACTCCAATCTTATGTACATATATGATTACATATATACAGAAACTATTAAAAGGAATTAACTTATGAAAGAGTACGGCTAAACATAGCTTATCAAATTATATCTACGCATATAAAATGTTTTTTTAAATAATTTCCACTCTGACTCTAGAATGTTTTGTATAACATATATTTAACCATATTACTTTGAAGAATTATTTTCTGTACAAGAATATAGGTAGTTCTTAATGTTATCACAGAAAACGTTATTAAATATATATATACAATTAAAAATAACTATGCATTATAATATGCTAACCTGTATACATAACATTCAATAAATTTCATTAAATATATTTATACAAAAACCTCGTATTTTGTAGAAGCTATTATTATATGTGTTGATGTATGCTAATAAATGCGAAACCTATTATGTAATAAAACACATGTTTAATTTATTATCTACACATTCTAGTTAATTGTCTTCTTACTGATACAACTCATTCTACATGCATAAATAATTTCCTTGAATACATATTTTTCCTTTGATAGCTATTTTAACATACATTAAGCTTTTGTGTTATTTTAATATTTCATTCAGACACTATTGTATGTAGTGTACTAAACAAACTTATCTAATATTTTTTAATTTAAAAACAATAATGTGTTATTTCGTGCATTAGAAAAAGTAAAATATGTTGTTTACTTTTTATAATTCTTTATTCAAATAACAAACAACTAAAATAATCATATTATTAACAAATTTAGCACATACTAATATTTTCAACAAATATTAAAAATGTTGAAATATTTCAATATATTCCTATTATAATTTTGAACTTACAGATTAATGTTATTTTAACTCGAAATATGTTCACATCTACTGGAATCAGCAAAACATGTATACAAAAGCGTACAATCAAAATGCTCTGAATCATGTAAAAATTCCTAAAAAACATTATGCACGTATTGATGTATAAACAAATTATAAATCGTGTTAACATATGAATGAAATGTTTTACAGACATGTCATAACAATATAATAATAATAATTCAAAAGTACCTTAATTGTAGTTCATTCATTAAGGACATATTACAGATGATTCATAAAAATACTTACATATACCAAATTATATAGTATTTTAAAAGCACAATGCATCATGTTTCTTCTTTTTACACATTCATACTGTTGTGTAATTTTTATAAAATTAATATTTAATCTTATGTTGTATTATTTTTCATTAATTATGATGCATATGATAATAATGTACTAAAATAAATTCTTTGCACTTTTAATTAAAGATCTATTTATACACATATAAATAAGATATTTGATATTTCCGTTGAATCCATGAAAAATTTAATAAAAAAAAAAGAAAAAAAATGACACCCATCTTTCAAGCATAAACCTTACAATTTGAGCATACAATA